AAAACATTCAAAAAAAGAAAAATTAACTGTAGCGCTTCATTATACTATTATATTATTATTATTATTGTGACATTTTGGAATACTGTGAAGTTTTATCTCTTGCATATACTTTATACGGAAGTATTACGCCTTAAAAATACGAAAATAAATTTTACAAGGTTTCTGTTTTGTGTGGAAGAGTAATTGATGTTGCTAAGAATGATGTTTGTTTTTTGGGGTTTTTGTTGTTTTTTTTTAAATGTTACCAGCACTTTTTTTGTAAGTTTCACTTTCCGAGGTATTGTACAAGTTCACACTGTTTGTGAAGTTTGAATATGAAGGAATAATTAAAAAAAAAACTCTTCTCTTGGTTTCCTATTGTGTCTTCTTTATACTGTGGTTTCTGTTGTAGGCAGCTCTCCACATTATTTCACACATTGTTGTCTAGATCTAGTCTGAGATTATCCAAACTGAGGACTATGCCTAGAAAACCAGAAAAATTCTCAATGTATCAGTCTTCATGATACAAGAAGTAGGAATTATAGACAGGATTGATGATGGTGAGATCACTTTGGGGAAATGCAAGACAAACGTGTACATTATCTTACACCTGTCCAAACCTCAAAAATGATGACATGGCTTATTTGCTGCTATAAAAATTGATTCATATTTTTTCCTTCCCCAAGTGTAGATTAGGATCTATCTGCCTCCTATGGAAATACCAACCTCATATGACACTGTGCCCACCTGTCCTTGTGTCCCCATGTCTCTATTACCCATGAATCTATGTCTGAGTCTCCTTTTTATCTCTTGGGTCTCTCAGATCTATATGCAAAAAAGGAAAGTTCGTAGCACAAAATATGTCCCCATTTGATGACTTTGGAGACCCCTTAAGGGCTCCAATTTGATCCACAGACCTCTTCTTATATGTGACCTTGCCTGTAAGAGCTCTCTCACCTCCTCATTCTTACAGAAAGCACTCATGTGATGAAAAAAACTTACAGTTTGTTTGTCCTTTGAAGTCAACCCTACTGAATTAAATTCACAAAGTCTTCACTAAGCATCTATATTTCACTCATCACTGTGCAGTGCATGAATAAAATGAAAGAACTTATTTCAGCCCCAGAAAGCCTTAAAATCTGACATTGAAAAGTAAGTAGAGTCTCATATAAAATCAAGGGCTAGATTGTACTATTCAGACTGTCAGTGCCACGGGTATTTATAAACCAACAGAAAGATGATAATGGCTAAGGTAGTCACAAAATGGTCCAAGGAATAAGCAATATAGTTTGGGGACCCACAAGAACATCAGGCTTGGAGTTGGAGCAGATGAGTATGGACAGACATTTCCACCAGGCATGAGCTTGGGATGGGGAGGGCCATAAGGAGACCTGACTGATGTCAGTGAACTCCTGAGACTTCATGAGGACCCTACAAATTTAAATATTGACTTGTTGCCATGCAATCACTGAAATTCTAAGTTAACCTGATATTCTAGGAAGTAGAAAACAAAGAGGAAGAAAACATTTTCATGATGCATAATTTGTCTGCATATGATTTCTGTGACCCAACATCTTAATGATGCCAGCCAACTTCACCCAGAGTCTTTGATCACTCTGCACCATCCACATACCCTTGAGGCTTCTTCAGAACTGTTGAAAATGTTATGGTGTGGTTTATGTGCAGGCTTGTAATAATTACAAATGGCCCATACACTACTCATATAGCACTTCACAGTTTGAAAAGTTTCTCCTTCATATACTTTATCCATCTTCACAATTATGCTGTGAACACTGTGAGGTCACTATTATCACACGAATTTATAGAGAGACAGAAGTCCAAAAATATGTGGTTTTCCAGTACAAAACAATAAACTAGTGCTTGAAGTCAGGTTTTCTGAAATCCAATGATATTTGTACCACATCAGTATTTCTCAAACTTGAGTAATGTATATACCCAAATAAAGGAAAAAAATACTCCTCACAGACCTCCCCTATAGGAGGGAGTCTGTGGTTATTTTTATTATAACATTTAGTAATAAATTAATAATATGCATCATTATTTTATTATAAACATTCTTAAATATGCTCCCACATACACCAATTCAACTTATGCTCATTGCTCTTACAGAATTATTAAACTAAAATAAAGTGACAAATTAAATACAAGTAAAACTATAAAATTAATGTCTACAATAACGACGTTAATGTATGGGATGATGCTTTGCTAAATCCAAGCCACGGCTCGCCACATGAAGTGTACGGACTGTTTTGGCACACATCCTTCCAAATTCAGCATCCCTGCACTGCCGTGTGCAAAGTGAAGACAGTTCTCCCACCACTTTTCTTATATTTCAACTACCACAAAATCTTCCACAGCTCCACCCATGTGAGGCAAATGAATTATTTATAAATTGAGCTTCTGTTCCTTAAAATCAATTGCAAACACAAACATGGAGATCAAAAACAATGTCAGCATCCTGCTATGAGAAGATCATCAATATCCAAGGTGTTTTAAACTTTTTAAAAGAGGATCATCTCATTTAAAACACAAAATTTTTAAATGCTTCCAGAAAACTTGTGGACCCCAAGACTATATCTGTAACTCAGCTTTCCTTAAATCCCATATTTTAAGATCACTGATAATTTCAGATACCTCAGTTGCTCCCAACAAGTTTTCTTGCCCCCAGGAGGCCTCTGTGGCATCATAAGCATTGCCTGGTGCACATGCTCATGAGCCTTGGTATGAATACTAATTCAGCATTTTGCTACTTTTAAAGCAGTAGACCACATTCTTACCTCATGCTCCTAAGAACCTTAAAAAGATATTAACATTGCCATTCTACAAATAAGGAAGTATTTGTAATGAGGCTCTGAGAGATTAAGTGACTTATCCAAAGTTATGAAGCTAATTGCAGAGCTCAGTACTTGGACCAAGTATCCCAATTCCCACTCCACTACACTCCATGGTTACTTCTATTCTGATCTCTGTGGAAACCATTCTCATTTTAGTCCTGGAATTGGTGCTCTTTACAACCTATGTGAGTCAGAATGACTGTGGTCTAGGGTAAGTCCTGAAAGTCCATTCCTGCATAACACCCCTGAGTTGTGAACTTCTTGACAGCCCTGGCCTTATTTACATGAACGGAACCACTTAGCTACCTCAGCTACTTGTTAGAAAAAGGCTGTCCTATAAACACAGCTCTTGTCTATGTTTTCTCCATATGTGAGGCAATTACTCGAATTGTGATGTCTAATATACTAACCACTGGTCACTTGTCTCTATTTACATTTAAACTTAATTAAAATTAAATAAAATTTAAAATTGAGTTCCTCAGTTGAGAAGTCTGCAGGAGAGATAGAAACATTCATACACTGATGCTGGGACTGCAAATTAGTACAACCCCTGTGGAAAGTAATCTGGAGGTACCTCAAAGAGCTACAAGCAGAATTACCATTTGATCCAGCAGTCCCACTACTGGGCATCTACCCAAAGGAAAAAAAGACATTCTATAAAAACGACACCTGCACTCACATGTTTATAGCAGCACAATTCACAATTGCAAAGATGTGGAAACAACCCAAGTGTCCATCAATACATGAGTGGATTAATAAAATGTGGTATATGAATACCATGGAGTTCTATTCAGCTATAAGAAACAACGGTGATATAGCACCTCTTGTATTTTCCTGGATAGAGCTGGAACCCATTCTACTGAGATATCACAAGAATGGAAAAACAATCACCACATGTACTCACCATTAAATTGGTATTAACTGATCAACACTTAAGTGCACATATAATAGTAACTCACATTCACTGGGTGTCAGGCAGGTGGGGTGGAGGGAATGGGTATAGTCACACCTAATGGGTGCGGCCCACACAGTCTGGGAGATGGACACACTTGAAGCTCTGACTCGGGCAGGGCAAAGGCAATATATGTAACCTAAACGTTTGTACTCCCATAATATGCTGAAATTAAAAAAATAAAATAAAATCCAATTTCTTCGTCACATTAGCCAAGTTTCAAGTGTCCAATAGCTGCATGTGGTAGTGACTACTGTATTGGATGACATTGACATAGAGCATTTCTATCATTGCAGAAAGTTCTATTGGACAGCATTGTCCTACACTACTATATGCAAATAAATTCTCTCAAACATAAAGTATATAGTTCTGACTTCCAGAAAGCTGAGGCTCTTGCCACACATAGGGCTCTACAGGCCACTTAACAGGTATGTTTTGGAATTAAGGTGAGGGATTGCTAGTTAAGCAGGGAAAAAATCAAAATATTGAACAAAACTCCCACTCTCGAGCTGGCCGCCACAGTCACGCTGCCCATTCACCCCTCTCTGTGGGGTGTGGTGTGCCAACCAGAACGCTGCCACTGGAGGACCACACGGACACCCCCCCATGCCTGTCCAGCTCAGCACTGATGGAATCTGCATGACCCTGAGTGTGTGGTGATTCATTTCTGAGGCTCACAGGGTGAGAAAGGACAAGTCAGAAAATAAAATTGCACACTAAGGTTCTCTCCACTCATGAAGACCATCTATCGCAAAGCTCCATGACTCAAAATTTCTCACATTTGTTCAGTATAATTCTCTGGCTTATAGAGTAGACTTAGAAGCCCAGGCTCAGAATGTGGGTGGTGAATCAGTAAACGTACTCTTCCTTGAGTGCTCATTCATTGATTCATTTATTCTCCTCTCCTCCAATCAGAGAATCTAAGAGAGGCTCCAGAAGAGCTTGGGATCTCTTCCTGTCAGCACTTAGTGGTCTCCTTCCTCAGTCTTCCCTGTGATCTTCTCCTATATATTTCTCAAAAGACATAATAAGAGGGAAAATCTTCCTCAAACACAATTTTGAATCAAACAGAGACAGAGACTGACATTCATAGATAGACACCCTCCCTAGGAACCAAGTTAGCTTGGATTTGGAGACCAGAGCTGCACGGTCCACTAAAAATATACTGAGAGCCACAGTGGCCACATTAAAAAAGTAAAAAGAACTAGTTGAAATTAATTTTAATATATTTTATTTAACCCAATATGTCCAAAATAGTACCATTTTGACATGTAATCCATATTCTTAAATTACTTATGAGATAGTTTACATTCTTATTATTCACATTTGTTTCAGAAATCTAATGTGTACTTTATATTTATAGCACAGCACATCTCGATGTAGACTAATCCCATCTCAAGTGGTCAATAGCTACGTGTGAAAAGTGGCTACCATGCAGGCTTATGCATGCCTCTGAGAATCTGGCTTTTAGTGGATTGTCTTCTCTGGTTCTCAGAGGAGAACCTAGTTGGGTGAATTCTGCTTTAAAGTTTATTTTCTGTCAGACTGAATCTCATTTTAGTAACCTGACCCATTTCTAACATCTATAGGCCCTTTTGTATTTTATCACCGTCCCAATGGTATTTATAAATGTTTCCCAATTACCATAATTATGTTAAATAACACCCAACTCTCAGTCCAACCTAGGCCCAATATAACTCTCCCCCAAATCAAAATACCACTCCCTTTTTGTCATTACCTTTTGGTTCATTTTCAATTTGTGAATTGTGTTTTACTCCCAACCAACTGGTACTAATTTTGCAAGAAAAGCACTGTGAATTGCCACAGCAAGCAACATTTTTTACATGCATTTATCCTTCTTCTAAAGGACTTGGAGCTCTGGACAGAATTCAGTTCATTGCTCCTAACTACATACCCGTTGGTAGAAAAATTGAGGGAAATACAAATAGAAATCCGAGGAGGAGTAGGAGTTGAAGTGTCTTCTTGGCCTAGTTCTTAGGGAGCAGGGCCACGCTTCATTTTAACCATCGGCAAGACACGGCCTTGCTTCACTTCCTGTCTCGGTGCCTGTGCCCATGATAGACAATCAGTCACGGTAAATCCGGCCTCCCTGCTCATCCCTCGAAGAGAGGTGGTGGAAGGATAAAAGTCTTCAAGATTCAGCCTGAATGTTAGTTAAGCAGAAATGAGCACAAAAGGAACCATGAGGCGGGTCTGGTGGGAGCAGGCGCTTTGACTTGTGGGAACTGAGGCTAGGGAGCTGAGCGTCCCATAGGGAAGGAGGTCCTTGCCACCACCGGAGCCCGTGAACCTCAGGTTTTACTCTCTAGGCCAGCATTTCAAGTCTGCTTTTGTTGCAGTGGACTCAGAATGCATTAGCCACGGCCTGACTCACAGGCCCCAGGCTCGTCCAGCCGCCCGCTCGGGGGAAGGCCACAGGAAATGGCATGTGTCCACGGAGGCAGCCACGTCTTGGCATTTGAGCCTCAGTTAGCCTTATCTGGGTGAGTGCATCGCTGAGCATTTGAAAAAAAGAATCTCTTTCCCACCAAAAGTAAAATCTGGATTTTTAAAATAGGGACTTTTCCTAGGGGGGAAAAAAGGAGGGGCTGATAGAGGGTTTAGAAAATATACACCCTCAAACTAGCTTCTTTGAACACTTTTATTCACTCTCTGACCTCTTCGTACTGGGGCCGGGGTAACTGTGGCGCAACTGTGCCATTTCCTGTGGGCCTCCCACGCACAGCTGGCCGGGCCTGGGTCCTGTGAGTCGGGCGGTCGCTCACACGCTTGAGTGCACCACAGCAAAGGGAGGCCTGAAATGCCTGCCCGGAGAGTAAAATCTGAAGCGCGCTGGCGCCCTTGGTGCCAAGGCCTTCCCTGTGGCACGTACAGCTGCGCCGGCCTTAGTTCCCACAAGGTCCCCAGACAAAGCTCCCGCTCCCACCAGGCCAGCCTCAGGGTTCCCTCTGTGCTCCCCGACACTTCCCCACAGATCAGCCTACCCTGGCCACCTCGCCCCAAACCGACATCTCTTCCCGAAGGCCTGCATCGTGTACCCTTAACTGCATATTACCTTTTAATGTGAATGTTATCTCCCCGCTTAACTGTAAGTTCCTAAGAGCAGAGACCGAGGTTGAGTCATCCTGGAATCTCCCCATAAAGCCTGATATCATGCCTTATTCATAACATGCCTTGTTCACTACATGCCTCGAATAAGTGAATGTTAATGAAAATGACAGTGAAAATGAGACGAGGGTGGCTCTGCAGTCATCCCATCCTCGTCACCCGCCACAAAACCCAGTAGCCCCAAACCCTGCCCAGTGCCATTAAGAGGAATGTGTTTCTCAGAGCCATGGGTTCTGCTCAAACTGCCAGATTCAAAACCAGGTCAAGTTTTTTTTAACATTCACGATCAAGATACACACTACTTACCCCAGGTCTGCCATCCTGGGACGGAAGGAAAGGGAGAGGAAATGAAGGTGGGAAGAGAATGACATTCATTTACTCCCCTGAGTACACACACACACACACTGATGGAGGATACAGCAGCTTGTACGGCCGCTGCTAACAGCAAAGGCCTCCCAGAAGACGCCTCTCTGGCCCTAACCAGTCTCTGATAGGAAGCTGAAGCTCCCCAGGCTTCTGTAACTCAGGACGTTAAAGTAGTCGTGCGGCTCAGCGTAGTCGTCTCTCCTCTGCTCTCCGCAGGGGCCAGCAGGGCCGGCTTCTGCCTGGACGCAGCTCCCAGGGGACGCGGGGACTCGGGGACTCCGTTGCTCCCGTTCAGCTGGTGTCCTCCTGAGGTCACTTTCCACAGAACGGATTCTGAGAGATTTCTAAAAACAAACCAACTGCAAAGTGAGTATGTGAGGACGTGAGTCAGAATTTGCTCCCCAATATGACACAGACTGAGAGTTATAACGTCTCTCTCTCCTTTTCTTCCACACTCACACACAAATTTGTGTTCTCACCAACACCCATTCCCTAGCCCGTAGTTTCTCGACCTTTTATAGCTGGATTTCAACACTAACCACCCACTGAACCACGCTTGCTATGCACACGCCGTGCTGCACACCCCATTGCCTCCGATGCACGGAGCCTCGTGAGGACCTTTCATCCTCTGTTGTCTCTTGCCCTTTGCTGCACTTGACACTGCTGATCTCTTCCTTTTCAAAATGTTCTCCTTCCCTGACTCCTGGGGCGTCACTTTCTCCTGCTTCTCCTCCTCCTGTTCCTTCCCCTCTTCCCCTTCCTCCTCCTCCTCCTTTGAACCCCACCTGCATCTTCAGCCGGGCCTGCCCCTTTTCTCTTTTCACATCAGCTCCCCACACCATGGGGTTCCCCAGGGTCCTGCTCTCTGCTTTCTCACATTCAACGCCCTCTCCAAGTTACTTCACCCATTTATCTCCATCCATACACCTCCAACGACCACCCATCCTCTGAATATTCCCAAATCTCTACCCAAACTATCCCAGGCTTCTACCCCAGCTCCAGACCCAAGTGCCCACTGGACACTGCCTGCTGACTCACAGCGAGCTCAGACCCAACTTGTCTCAAGTGAAACCACCATATTCCCTCCCCCAAAATTGCTCTTGCCCTACATTTTCTATCGTGCCTTACGGCACCAGCTGATCAGAACCTGGAGCTAATGTTAAACTCTATTCACCCATAAAACCCCATCCAGTTTTACTCCCAAGGGGCTCTGAAATCTACTTCCTCTTTTCTGACCCTACATCCATGTCTTCTCTCTCACCCCGACTTCATCCTTGCTGCCTCTGAGCCCCCTCTAACTGCTAGTACAACTCCACACAGCCACCAGAAGAATGAATTTTCATAAATTAAAATTGGATCAATCCATACTTCTGCCTCAAACCCTTCAGTGGCCCCCAGTGTGTATAGCAAGAGTACATGGGATGCACAGGTGGACTTCAGGGGATTTGCAAATCTCCTTAAATTGTATAAAATTTTTTTGTACAATGGGACATTCCTCTGGGAAGCAAATCCATAATTTCACTCCATTTCCTGACAGAGACTGTGATGCTCCCCAAAAACATCCTTTGTGACTTGGTCCCATTCACCTTTCCAGCTTCATCACCTGCCATGCTTCTCACCCAATGTACCCCAACTTCTGGGGTACAGAAGTACCCCAGAATGCCAGAGAGCTACCATTTATTAAGAATCTGCTGTGAGCAGGGTCTGGGCTGGTTTCTTTATGAAATCTCAGCACAACTCTATTGAAGTTTCTACTTTTGAATGAGCTAACAGTCACAGACAGGTGTAGTCACTCACCCAGGAGCAAATCCAATTCTGGCTCAGGTTAGTATGACTCTAGTAGGCTGTGCTCTTTCTCCTCAGCCAAACTGCCTGTCATCCTACAGCTTCTTGAATGCCATGCACTGTTTCTTGGCTCCCTCCCCAGTTTTATATATGCTGTACCCATTATCCATTCCCTGCAGTTCCTTGAAAAGTAGTCTACTCATTCTTCCAGACTCAGCTTCACAGCATACTATCCAAGAAGCCTTCCCTGTCCTCTTATAGGGAGTTACATTCATCTGTGTTATATTCCTCTCTGTAGACTCAGAGCCCATAACTGATGCTCAGAGTATATCTTAGGACTGAAATGCGCACGCACGCACACACACACACACACACACACATATTATTCTACAGTCCCATACCTAAAAGAATCTGATTTTCCAAATAAAAGTAGGGACTCATGGCCAGAAAATTGCACTTATGGGGCCACAGGACAGAAGAATGAAGTCTGTTGAGTAAAATCAAGGGTGGGAAGTCAGCTATCACAGCAATATCACAGCATTATAGGTGAGGCTGGTGCTAAGACAGAGAAATCAAAGGACAGCAGGCACAAGTAGGATTGCAGAAGAAATGCTAACTGGCATCCCAGTGCAAAGTCAACACCCTCTCAGCCTTACTGGGGACTCCTCTAACGCACAAGTCCAAGTGACAGAATCACAAAGAGCCATAGGCTTAGAAAATAACAGCAACAAATACACACCAAATCTCATTCTGCCCACTCCCCTCTGCTTCAAAGATAGGAAACACCAGCACCAGCACCAGCACCAGCACCAGCACCAGCACCAGCTAGTGTCAAGCCCAGCAGTGCACAAACGTGAGGAAGGAGCTGAGAAGGAAGGTGACCAGGGCCCTGTGGATATGCACTGTGAACAAATATCAAAAGTTAGGGATGGAGCATCACTGCAGACCTCAGGAGCTGGGCCTAAGGAGAGACCATAGTCTCAGAAGCACATGCATGAGCCAGCGGCCTTTCCCCAAGTACAGTATCATTCATTCCTTTTGAAGTAGAACTGGCTGAACCTTAACCTAAGTATAAAGAAAAAGGGGGTCATCAGAGCTCATGCTGATGCTGTGCTTAAAAGAACTACTACATGCCTTGATGCAATCCAATCCATTTTTTAAATGCGAATACTCAATCCTTTCTCAACTGCTTGTGACCTCTTGTGCTCATGTGTTCTTGTTCCCATTCTTGGTGAGACTGGCCACTGTGCCTTTTGATCTAAAGACTGTTTTGACCTCCAGAAGTCCTCTGGGAAATTCACAGAATCCTGAGTTGGGCCCCTCAGCTGTTCTATTTTCATTCCATCCTGCGTGGGGGACTCTGTAATTGTAATTAGCATAAAAATAAGTCTGGAATTAATGTACTGATGTTGTCCTAAAGGACAAAAAGGAGCCACAGAGATGGTAGCTGGGTCCTCCCAGGACAAACATTGTCCTCTCAGAGTAACGTAAGGAAAATGGACAGTGGGGTTGGCAGAGTCATTGTCCAAGAGCTGGATACACGTGTCACTCCTTTCCCACATAGAACATAACATAGGGGCACTTTCTACATAGCTGCTTAGCAAATAATATTTATTCATTGTTCATAATAAATGTATGCAATATAACCATTTATTGAGTACCAGGTATTATGGGATACTATAGTAAATAAAATTTATAATAATTATAAGAACTTAATAAATAATCGTTATTAATACACTCCAGAAAAAATGCCAAATGCCTTACATGAATTATTGGACTTAAGTTTACCCACAACCGTATGAGGGCACAACCATAATTATCTCCATCTTACAGATGAAGAAACTGAGGCTCCGCAAAGTTAAGTGATATGGCTACTCAAATGGTAGAGCCAGGACTCAAATTTGGTCTGTCTGATTCCAAAGATCATTCTCCTCAATAATGCAATCTACTGGCTCTCAGGGTCTGTAGAGAATGCTGTTGGTGCCTGTGATGGTTAATTTTAGGAGCCAACTTAACTGGATTAAGGGATACCAAGAGATACCCAGAGATTTGGTAGAACATAAATTTTGGGTGTGTCTGCGATGTGTTTCCAGAGATTGTCATGTGAGTGAGTGGACTGAGTATGGAAGATCCACCCTCAATGTGACTAAGTACCATCTGGGCTGGCAGCCCAGATGGAGCAAAAAGAGAGGAAAGGTGAATTGGTCTCTCTTTGTTCTGGAGCTGGGACACACTCTTCTCCTGCCCTTGGACATTAGGACCCCAGGCTCTCTGGCCTTGAGACTCCAGGACTTACACCACTGCCCAACCCCTTGGGTTCTCAGGCCTTAGGCCTTGGACTGAGAATTACACCATCAGCTTCCCTGGTTCTCAGGCTTTTGGACTTTAACTGAGCCACACTATTGGCATCCCAGGGTCTCCAGCTTGCAGATGGCCTGTTGTGAGGCTTGTCAGCCTCTACAGTCACATGAACCAATTCCCCTAATAAATCCCCTCTCATCTATCAATCTATTGGTTCTGTCTATCTGGAGAGCCCTGACTAATACAGCTCAGATCCACCTGACCATAACTCCTATTTCCCAGATGCTGGGAGTATAGGCTATAGGCTCACAGCAGTCCCTTCTCTGGGGAGCTCTGGGGTCCTCCCTGGTGAGCAGCCCATAGTCAATGACTGATCAAGGTGGAATTTCAAAAAGCCAGCTCCATGCCTCCAGGTGCAACCAACTCCGTGCAATATTGCTTCAACCAAGTCTACAGCTGAGATCATGTCTACAATGAGCTTTCTTAGCCCTGTACTGCATCCTTTACCTGAGAGTCCATCCCAATAAATCACTCTTACCAGAATTTGTATGTCAGGCTCTATTTCTGGGGACCTGCTCTAAAACAGTTGCTCTGGGATTGGTCCCAGAAGGCAGCCTTTAAGGATACGACTAGGGAGTGGGATCCCTCACCAGCTGGATGGTGGTATGGACCCCCATGGCTGGTGGTAATATGGAATGGAGCACAGATGGAAGGGGATTATGAGCTGGTGCAATGACTCTGGCATTTGAGACGTATAAGGTAAATAGTAACTATTAGGACTCAGCCTTGGCTTTTACTAAATTCCCCTGATGCACTAAAGAGAGAAAATGACAGGCTCAGATTATCAGCAACTTAAGGTGTGAAAGTTACAGCTCCTCCCTGGCAGCATTTAAGAGACGCTTATCTCCAGCAGGTGAAGACCAGGTACAGGAGCTAGGTATAAGAGGGACAGAACTTCAAAGAAGGCTGGATTCTAAGCCTCAGCAAGTCTCCTATGCCAAAATCAAAGGCCTGAGAACCCAAGGGGTTGAGCAGTGGTATAATTCCTGGAGTTTCAAGGCCAGAGAGCCTGGGGTCCTATTGTCCAAGGGCAGACGAGTGTCTTGATAGGAAAGGGGGCGGTCCTCACTTTGGAAGGAGGATCTCTGGGTAGATGTGCTTGAGAACCATGAGCCACCTGCTTCTTGTGCCATCTGCAGCTGCAGAAGTGGCCCACTTCCTCTTGATGGAATATAAGCCTTGCCCAAAACCCGCCTCC